AGAGAGGCTAAAGGGGGGAGAGGGAGGCTAAAGGGGGCAGAGAGGCTAAAGGGGGGAGAGGGAGGCTAAAGGGGGGAGAGGGAGGCTAAAGAGGGGAGAGGCATTCTCACAGATGAAAAATAGTCCAAAGACTCCACTAATTATTCAACATCTGGAACCGATTTGGGGGCACGTGAACTCGGGTCCTGGTGGACTGCCGACAACACGCACCGCTGGGAAGCTCAGTAGATTCCGCTCAGCCTCTCGTACTCTCTGAAGATCCAGGAGACCTTCTAAGAGTCCACTTCTATCTTGTGCTTTTTTAAAGTTAGTCGTCTTTGAGGAAAACCCTTGTGTTGCACGTAGAGCTTGTTCTTAGCAACGCTAGGAGAAAATAAAAACTCCCTCTCTCCCACAATGACCTGACAATGAATCAACCAGGGGGGGTGGGAAACTGGACAACCACGCCTGAAACAATATCTCATCATCAGGACTCATCTCTGGCAAAATGAACCCGTTTCTTTCATTCAAACAGCAGCAGCCACACCTCATATGTACAGTCCATTAGGGGTGAGCTGTTCTTCTCTCTGCTCCACTTCATCTCTTGAGTCCTTTACTAAACTTGATGTATTGTCAACAGGCCGGCTTTTTAACTTTTTAAGTCTTTGTGAGAGGTTAGAGGCTGATAACCTAATCAGTTCCTGCTGCTGGTGCAGCGGTTTCCTTCCAAGAACTCTCACTTACACACACACACACACACACACACACACACACACACACACACACACACACAAAACAAGTCGTCACCTTCTGACCGGAGGAAAAACAGTTAAACTTGAGAAACCACGTGCTGATGTCATGCTTCACAATCCTTTATGTGCTGCAGGAATGAGTCCAAAAGCCCAGACATGATATTATAGGACATAAAATAGTAAATACCTCTCTGGTGAAGTGAGTAGTTCAAGTACAAGGTTGCATTAAAGTGCCATGAGCCCCGGGGCTATGTCTTTTTCAAGGCTTTTTTTAAGGCCCTGCAAGCACCATCACGACTCAACTATCGGCCCGTCCGACCGGCACAAACAGCCACGCTCAGTTTGTATACAATAAAGAAACTGAAGGAGGGAGTCCGCGTTTTTGGACTTCCAGTCGATGTGATTCTGGTTAGAAGTCTGACATGAGGTCTGTGTTTAACACAAGCTAAAGAGATTTTATCGTTTATTTCTCTGATTATAAAACAGGTCAGTAAACGCCCCTCTGGCGAATCTTAAAAAGAGTGTGAATGAGACGACTAGACCTCCTCACTAGAACACTAGTCCTCCAAGTCATGTGACCGTGGTGGAGTTCCTTTATAGCCTAACGTTAGCTTTTTACTTTACACTTCAAACATCACAAAAGTGGAGTTCATTTGAGATTATAGAAGTATCATAAACCTTTGGTTGCTTTCTGCAATAACCCAAAATCCAATGAAAGAATCCTTATTGGCTTTTTGTGGAGGGAACCAGCGAGATGCTTACTTCCTGTTTGCAAAGACAAACACGTCGTCCCTGCAGCTCTCTATCAACATGTTCACAATTTTGTGTGTTTCTTTCTACATTGTGCTCACATCTGGCGTCTAACGTGTCTGCCAGTTGTGTTCCGACTACAGTTGGACAGCGACCACTTAATAGTTTCATGCATAAACTGACAACAGCTGCATGATTTTGTACCATTTTTAGTGTGTTTAGTGTGTTACTCCCAGTTCCCCCACAAAGTCCAGAAGAAAACACACCTTATTATCTGATATCTGTCACTGACGGCCATGATTCTGCTTCGCAGGAACGCGACCCAGCTGAAGCTGCTGCAGGACCAGATTCTACTGGAGCAACAGGAAGCAGCCGTCTGGCATCAGCAGGAACAGCAGGAACAGCTGGAACAGCTGGAACAGCAGATCCAGGAAGTCCCGCCTCCGCCTCAGCAACCGCCTCAGGAAGTGCCTCCTTCTCCCCCTGCTCCGCCGTCTCCGCCTCTCCCACCTCCTCCCTCCTTCCAGGAGTTGGAGAGCAGCACCACCATGCAGGCCAGCACCTTCAACTATGCCCGGCCCAAGCAGTTCATCGCCGCCCAGAGCCCCGGCAGGGCGGGCTACGTCACCCAGACCTCCGGCTCCTCGGGGTCCGGCCTGTCGTCCCCGATGTCGCCCCCGACCTCGCACAAGACCGTCACCAGGGTCACCGTGCCCCCCTTCACCAAGGCCGGCAGCGTGGAGTCTCCGAGCTCCCCTTCCTTCCCGGCTCCTCCTCCGCCGTTCTTCGGCTCCAACCTGTCCTCCCCAACGGGCCCCACCCAAGACTTCCCTCCTCCTCCACCTCCTCCTCCTCCGCCCGTCCCCATGTCTCCGGCCCTCTCGGATATGTCCTCGCCGTTCTCCTCCGTCCCTCCGTCTCCAGCCTCCAGCTTCCTGTCCTCGGTGTTGCCCTCCACACCTTCCTCCCCCGGCAGTCCCACGGTCAACGCCCTGGGTCTCCCTAAAGGCAACGGGACGATGTAAGTATCCCTCACTTCTTGTCAAGTTACGTGAGCTCTGCGAGTTCTTTAAACACAGCGAGTCCCCCGGAGAGTCACGCTCCCCGTCAGATAGACCTGCTGCCAACTCGGAGGCGGGATGTCTGCAAGATGGAAGATGACATGTTTATATTTTTACACGGCATGTTTGCAAGAAGACGCTAACAAACGCACACATAAACACAGAGCGCAAGATCTCCAGCAGACATACGGCAAGAAAACATAGTCAAGGACCTCAGAGTGAGAGGTGTGTCAGAATCACACTTAGGGATTGAATAGTTTGCATGAACGGTTTGAGTTGTCTCTCTTTAAAGGACGTTTCCTCTAAATGAGTTTGTTCTCAGACTCTGATGATAAATCTCCACTTCAGCAGCTCTTACATTCACCAAACTTCACTCGTTCATTCCTCTCTGTGGGCTGAAGGTTCACACAGAGGGGTTAGTTCACACACCACTCACACACTCATTTATACATTTATTAATATAAGCATGGAGATAAAAGATTATATTATGCCTGTTGAGAGTGTAAAAACCTTTGATTCTAATATGTCAAAGAAATGAAACAATCATTTTGACCCTTCAGCACCCATACTGCTGTCAGAGTCAAATAAACTCAGATTTTGGTTTGAGTTCTGCATATTTAGCAGATAGAACTCTCTAGTCGTGTAGATAATCCTCTTCTGATGTTCTGATGGCCGTCTTTAAACTCTCTGCCAGTCATTTTTCATCATCCCCTCACCCCCCCCGGCATTCCTGCTGCTGTTGTGAGAGATAAGAAGACGTGTTGTGGAATGCTTACAGCCAGATAAGGGTTGGATATGAGAGGTCCGGAGAGGAAAGAGGAGTCTCCGTTACGTTTAACGTTGACTAATGTTTTTCTGTTTTTCTGTTCCTCTTTCAGCAGAGCGTTCCCGAGGAAGTCCTCGGTCACCAGGACGCCGCGCTTGGCCTCCGACTCCGACATCCAAGGGTCCAAGGACGCCGTCATCCAGGACCTGGAGAGAAAACTGCGCTTTAAGGAGGAGCGCATAAGTAATGGTCAACAGGTGTGTGTGTGTGTGTGTGTGTGTGCAGAAGAATGAGCGTGTTCAGTAAATCAGATTAACAAGTCATGCAACTATTCATGAAGAAGGAACCATTTATGAATTTTTGTGCTATGCAGCCTTAATAAATTCATGTTTTCTGCATACATGTTCAATTAACACAAGATACAGCCGATGGTGTGTATAAGTGTGTGTGTGTGTGTGTGTGTTCTGCGACTCACACACTAACCCCCTCCCCCCCGCTGACTCCATTAATCCCTGCTTCCAGAAGTTAACCTATGAGGAGAAGATGGCTCGCAGGCTGCTGGGTGCCGACAACGCCGCCACAGTCTTAAACACTCAGGACACGGAGGAGGAGCCGGTCACACAGGTACGGTGGCTGTTTACTATCCAGACACACCTGGAGGGGGAAATAATCACACGCACACTCACGTGACATCATGCAGGCACGGCAACCCCGTCGCCTACAAAATGACCTTCAGTTACAAATAAATTCTGAAATATGTTTCGAGGAAAATGTATTTTTTTCTGGATTATGGTTGAATTTTTAAACAGTTTACAACATGTGGTTAACGGTGTAAATTGGAATAAAACAAAACGCTACAAAAGTGCTGGGTTTGCTTTCGTAAAGAAAAAAAACAAAAAGACATCATGGTTATGACTTAAAACTACCGGATCACACAGGACACGAACAGCAGGCTCCTGGGTGAAAGTCCTGTTTTAGTTTTAACCAAAACACCCCAACCTCCCGACACTGACCTCCGCAGACTAAGTCCAAACGTATTTGTGATGCGTCAAAAGCAAACGATATCCACGATATCCACCTCTGAATTGAATTATTGCAACTTACGTAGTTATTTTAACGCAAACCAACAATCTTTTCCGAAACCTAACGAAGTATTTCATGAAGTTGGCAGGTGTTGCTGGACTTTCGTTGAAAAACGCGTGAAAATGAGGAGTAACTCTTTCGTAAGACATCATATGAATCTTTTTACGAGGATATACGTTGTATTTTTAGGAGACGGGCTGAGTATGGAAACGTTTGAGCAACATGTCTACACCAGCAATTTTTTTTTTTTTGAAACACAAATCACATGCATCTTAATGGCGTGTACACAATACAAGCGCCTTTCTGTTTTCTCCAGCGATAGTTTGCTAGTGTCATTCCGATCTCATGACTACTGGCTTTCCTTTATAACCCCCCCTGTAAACACTGCTGAAGAGGGATTTATGAAAGCAGGGTATAAACACAGTAAAGTCCTCCAGAGCCCTCCATAAAAAGCTCTGTTTATGCAAGCTGGTAGAAACCAGTGTGGCTGCTAACATGCTGTTTGAAGGCCTGTGTTGTCCAACTGAGCCACCAAGTCAGAGTGGACTGTAGCACCTCCACACTGTTGGTTCTTCATTCAGCATTTACTTTTTTATGTTGGACAAATGAATATAAAGTCAAGACACGACGGGCAAGAAATGTTTTTCATGCTCTGATCAATTTACAGATGTTGGTCTATTTTTCTTCCATAACTCGTCTTCTTTCAGACGAGAGGAAATAAAACATTTATTTTGTCTGTTTGCGTCTGTAGCTTTCTCCTAAATTCACCAAAAGTTACCATTACATAATGCCTCATTTGCATATTTAAACATAACATTTCAGAAAACTTGTAATACAACAAATATTTGTCTTGATGTCAGTAATGAACAAACAAACACACACACACACACACACACACACACACACACACACACAGCACAAGTGTGTGATGCTCAGTGACGGCACAACAAACATTTGTTTCTCTCAACAGGAAGACAAGTCATCAGATAGAGAATCTTTCCCTCAAAAGGTGTTTGAAACCTCTTGTTTTCTCTCCGTCACCCTCTGGTTTTTTAAATTCACTGTGTGTGTAAACGTGCACATGTAAACCACCACTGAGAGCTCGGATGTGTTCACTTTGACCAGAGCGGGAAATCAGCTGATAAGGGAACAAACGGCACACAAAAGGCATTTTGTTTTTCTGTGCCGTCCATTCACAAACAGGTGTGTCTGCACACAGAATGGAGCTGATTGTGTGTTTTGTACAGTTGGTACAGTGTGGGGGGGTTTGAATTGATTCAGATGCTGCAGCATGTTCACACTTGATTGCAGCATCCGTCAGCACGTTTTTGGTTTTCATGCACTTTGTTCTGCCTGCGCTTCCCATCACGCAACGCATGCTGTCATTCCAATCTGCATTTGGAGAATCAAGCAGCAATTAAGGTTAAATCTTTTTAGAAAGGAAGGATAATTGTTAGATTAGGAACATGCTGCAGCAGCTGCACACTGCGGGATAATACCTCGGTAGATCGGGATGGGCCGCTCGTGTGATTGCTATCGTTATGAGCGGCGGATTGAGGATAATGGTTCCGCAGCTGCTTCCCCAGGCCTGTCATTAATCTGTGTGGTGTGTCATCGGACCAACGCTGCTCTGCAGATGTTCCCTCAGCGGCGATGAGAGATTGATGGAGGGTTGGGGGGGGGGGGGAAGAGGAGTGGCTCATCTAGGCAAAGGGAGAATTTAGGAGAGAAAGTTGGTAGTTTGGGTGACAATGAAGGCAGGTTAATGGGTGTGTGAGGGCAAACAAATAGCTTTCTGTACGCTCTTAAAGGAACAGTGTGTAACATTTAAGGCAGACATTGAATATGATATTCATAACTATGTTTTAATCGGTGTATAATCACCTGAAACTAAGAATCGTAGTGTTTTATTTAGCTTAGAAAAAAGCGTTTATATCTACGTCTTCCACGGAGTCCACCATCTTGCACCGCCATGTTTCTGCTCATATGTAAAAGCAATTATTAGTAGAAGAACCGAGTATTGATGAGAGTAGCTCCTAGTTTTAGTTAAACCCTAAAGATAACTCTCCACCTGAAGGCCACCGTGGTTCTCTACACACTTAGAAAGGGGAGGGGCTTAGCTAAGGGTGAAATTCACAACTTCACCGCTAGATGTCACTAATTCTCACACGCGGTTACTTTAAAGGTTGAAACCTGCTGGTATTTTTGTCTCTAAACCTTTTCTCTTCTGCAGGAATACAAAGTGTCCAGCTTCGAGCAGCGTCTGATCAGCGAGATTGAATTCCGTCTGGAGCGTTCCCCGGTGGAGGAATCGGACGACGACGTGCAGCACGACGAAGACTCCGGCGGGCGCGGCGCGGCGCCGTCCTTCGACCAGAAGCTCAAACACTACAAGGTGTTCGAGGGCATGCCGGTCACCTTCTCCTGCAAAGTCCACGGAGACCCCAAACCAAAGGTGAGAGTTGGAACGCGCTGAATGATTAAAACATCGTTGATGTTAAGTTATAATGTTATGTTTAAATATGCAAATGACGCATTATGTAAGGGTAACTTTTGGTGAATTTAGGAGAAATATGCAGACGCAAACAGACAAAGTAGTAAAATAAATGTTTTCTTTCCACTAGTCTGAAAGAAGACGAGTTATGGAAGAAAAAAAGACTAAAACCTCTAAATTGACCAGAGTATGCATGCAGTGTCTCCTCTTACATCCAAACAAGCTTTCTTAAAAAGTATTCATACTTCAAAATTAAGTTGGAATTTGTTGATATTCTCGAACAGAATGTGACTTTTTTTGGACACGTTTCTGTTAAAATTACACCTTTTTTCTAAAATAGAAATGAATTCAAAGTTGCTAAAAAAACAAAAAACACCTTTGAGAGACATCGTATGTCTCTCAAAGGTGTTTTCTTTTTTGATGCTGTAGTTGAGGGTTATCTGATTATTGTGGAGGCAGTCATGAGGGCTCGGCTTTGGGAGTTGCTGATGTGTGATGTTGTTGACGGAGGGCGTGTAGATATTGTACATGTGTGATGTTGTTGACGGAGGGCGTGTAGATATTGTACATGTGTGATGGTGTTGACGGAGGGCGTGTAGATATTGTACATGTGTGATGGTGTTGACGGAGGGCGTGTAGATATTGTACATGTGTGATAAGAGGAGGCACACTAATGGCTCGGTGATGACAGGCTTCAGAATGAACCGAGGAAATAGAGGAAAAGCAGAGAGATAAGAAGGAGGAGGAGAGATAAGAGCACTATTTCAAACTATTTAGTGATGAAAGATTGTTGTTTAAGGGAAGACACTACAAGTTATTAGGTTACAAATATAACTAATAGATAATATATATAAAAACCAAAACCAAAACAGGGTCAGTATCAGGGTCAGCCTGTTCAACCTGTTCAACCGATTTGCGTCTCTGGTGTTTCAGGTCTACTGGTTCAAAGACGGGAAGCAGATCTCCAAGAGGAGCGAGCACTACCGGATCAGCCGGGACGCCGATGGAACCTGCTCTCTGCACACCGCCGCGGCCTCGCTGGACGACGACGGCAACTACACCATCATGGCCGGCAACCCCGAGGTGAGCCGACGGGTGCAACATTAAATATTACAGAAAACGCACACACACACGCGTGTGTTCAGCTGCTCGGAGACGATGTCAAAAGAGAGAGAGAATAATGAGAAGCAAGATAATAATCGTCTGAAGAGCAAGAGGACGTTCAATGAGACAGGAAGTCACCAGAAACCCTCACGAGGGTCAAACGTTCACAAGTGCTTCAGGCTGTTCTTGCAGCTCAAACGCTCACATTTTCAGAGTCTCTCTCTCTCTCTCTCTCTCTCTCTCTCTCTCTCTCTCT